GGCAGAGGCTTTAACCCACTGAGCCACCCAGGCGCCTCTCATTTTAAAATCCTAAAAAAAAATGTATACAAATGAAATAAGGCAGAAAAATATATACAAAGAAGGAAAAACAGAAGAAACAGAAGACAACTCTCATTAAGTAAATAGCATCTGAATTTTATTTATTTATTAAAAAAAGATTTTATTTACTTATTTGAAAGAGAGAGACACAGCAAGAGAGGGAACACAAGCAGGGGGAGTGAGAGAGGGAGAGGCAGACTTCCTGCTGAGCAGGGAGCTGGATATGGGGCTCCATCTCAGGACTCTGGGATCATGACCTGAGCTGAAGGCAGATGCTTAAGGACTGAACCACCCAGGTGCCCCAACATCTGAATTTTAAAGAGAAGTAATACACACAGGTTTAGTAGCAAGTTAGTCCCAGTTTGAGGCCCTAGGAAATTATACAAGGAGGCCCTCCCTCCCAAATTTTTAAAAAAATATTTAATTTATTTATTTATTGGAGAGAGAGGGAGAGCATGCGTATGCATGCAGAAGGAGTGGGGCAGGCAGAGGAAGAGGGAGAAATAGACCCCTTGCTGAGCAGGGAGCTCCTGGGATCATGACCTCAGCTGAAGACAGATGCTTAACTGGACCACCCAGGTGCCCCCCACCTACCCAATTTTTATGCAGGGAAAAGCTAGTTAAAATAAGCATCAAGGATGGTGGTTTCTCCTCCTCTTCCTCTTCCTCTTCCCTCCTCCTCATCCTCCTCCTCTTCTGGGGTTAGGGGTAAGGGGTAATGTCCATGAAAAGGTGAATGTATGGAAAGTATATGGGAGGGGCTAACAACTTAGGGACAGTTCTATAAATTTGCTTTGGCAACTAGGTTTTTAATACAGTATTGTAATGAAAAAAAAAAAAACAAAAACAAAAACAAAAAAACAAACGCTAATTAAAATGTTTTCTGCCTTCCCCTTTTGTGGAGTCCCTGCTCAGTCACCAGTAACCCAGATTCCCGGTACCCTGGAGACCGACCTCCCAGCAGTACAGTCCACAGATCTTGCCGTGTTTATAGGATACACTGCCTCACTGGGAGCACACTGCCACTGTCCTGCTCAACCCATCAATCAAATATTGAACTTGAGGGCGCCTGGGTGACTCATTCAGTTAATCATATAACTTTGGCTCAGGTCATGATCCCAGGGTCCTGGGATCCAGACCGGGATGGGACTTCCTGCTCAGCAGGGAGCCTGCTTCTCCCTAGGTGCAGCCCCACCCCCCATTCATGTTCTCTTTCTCTCTCAAATAAATGAATAAAATCTTTAAAAAAACAAAACCAAAACCAAATATCAAACTTGAAGAAGCTGTGGACTGGGCCAGCCAAGATGAAGGCGGTGAACACAAAGCAACCCAAAATGGGCCTACACAAGAAAAAGGAATCCAGGCGTCCCCCAAGGTAATCTCTTCTCGCTGAGCTGAAGAACATCCCAGGCCTGGGTGGCACTGGCAGGGCGCTGCAGAGCATTTGTCAGGCCAAGCAGGCTCCGATTGCTCCTGGGTGGTTGGGTTTACCGACGGTAAGTCAAGCCAGGGCCTGCACAACAGACTGAGGCCTATGAGGGGGACGCGGAGGGGCCGACGCCTCCCGCCTGCCCACCGCGGCCAGCTTCCGCGCCACGCAGTGTGTGCCTCGGTCCTGGTGCACCCACCGCAGGGGAGGCATTTGGGGCGCCGCCCGCAGCGTGCAGAGGTCCTCCCACTGAACCACAGCCACACGCCATTACCTTGCAGGAAGGCCCTTTGTGAGACCTCGACCCTGGCAGCCGAGAGGCCACGAGATGGCAGCAGAGGACACAGCCCTGAGCCATTTGCAAAAGCAGATCTTTCCTTAGAGAGAGATGGTCAGTTGCCTATAATCTTGTATTCAAGGCCAGAATAAATGACTGAATTTCAAAGAAACGAGGGCAAAATTCATCAACATGGAGAATTTCCCAGCCGCCACAGAATTCAGCTGCACGTGAAGCCACGTATGAATCGGATATTTCCCCAGTGCTTAAAGCAAGGTATATGGGTCAAGGACTTGAAACACTGACGTCAGCAGGAAACTTGTCACAGTCACTTCTTTCTGTGAAGTTCCAATCGGCTATAATTCAAGTAAAATATGAGTGACTTCCACAGAGGCTGCCAAACTGATGAAGGGACAGATAAGGGTGGTTTCTGGGAAGAGTTGCGGCAGAGCACGCTGCTTTCACGGAGCGGTCAGGGACGCTGGCGATAGGCAGGGGTGGGGGCAGATAATGAAGACCACAGGACGTATCAGACAACCTTTGCTTCGCAACTGGGAGAGGATAATGCATAGGGAAGGGGCATTAGCGGCACTGGAACTTAATCTCTGACCTTATGACTTGTCATTTAATCAACTAATGGTCCTTCCATTATAAATCCCACCCCACCCCAACACCCAGTTGTTACAGCCTAAAATATCTCAAGACATCACCAAATAACCCCTAGTGGGCAAAATGCCCCCTCTCAAAGAATCAATGCCATAGAACGATATTGATTAAAAAAAAAAAAAAAAAAGGTTAAGAACGTAATGTTAAATCTCTCCAAAACTCTTAAATTTCAAGAGAGGCCTCAAAGGCCTACAAGAAGTCTTGCACACCCAAAACCTGAATTCCCATCATATGTTTGAATAAGGAAGAGACTATAATTGAAGGACAACAAGCTGGATCTGGTCCATAGTTTAAGAAAAATTTGTCCTCAACATTTTAAAATCAGAAGAGTTCTCATTTAAAACATCAGAATTTCTGAGGCCCCTGAGTGGCTCAGTCAGTTAGGTGTCTGCCTTCAGCTTAGATTATGGTCTTGGGATCCTGGATTGAGCCACATGGGACTCCCTGCTCAGTGGGAAAGTCTCTTCTCCCTTTCCCTCTCTCCATTCCCTGCTGATCTCATGCTCTTTCTCTCTCTCAAACGAATAAAATCTTTTAAAAATAAACAAATTTTTAAAAAGTCAGAACTTTTGACTTGTCTAGGAAAATTGGAACTATGTCAATACCAGGCCCACAGTTCCACATGGCAATAATTGGGTGGAGTTGAGTGGGGGTAAAGTCTTGAAGTCGAATGTGTGTGTTCTAGTTTCCCACGGTTCCCACCAATCTCTGTTACATCATACCCAATCTGTTTCACTCATTTACACTACTCCTCATCTCTGCAGGCAATTTATTTTCAACCTCTGAAGTGCCTGATAGTTTCAAGGTATTTTCCCATGTGTGATTTTATTTTAGCCTTGGTACTCCAGTAAGGTAGAGAGAATAAATACTATGATTATAATCTCCATGTAAGCAAAATGTACTTCAGAGAGTTTGATTTCCTCAAACCTACAAAACAAAACCAGAGCCTAAATTTCCCAACTCCTAGTCCTATTATTTTTTAGAGAAAAGTTTTTCTTTTTTTTTTTTTTTTAATTTTATTTATTTATTTGAGAGAGAGAGAGAGCGCACGCACACATACATATGAGCAGGGGGAGGGGCAGAGGAAGAGGGAGAAGCGGACTCCCCACTGAGCAGGGAGCCTGATGCAAGGGTCAATCCTAGGACCTTGGGATCATAACTTGAACCAAAAGCATACCCCCAACCGACTGAGCCACCCAGGTGCCCCCGGAAAAGTTTCTATTAACAACTTCATTTAGTGGTTCAGGAAAAACTAAAGAGGTATATATGGGCATAAGTGCTGGAAAAGATGAGTTTCAACTGCCAAACTTTTCAAGAATCACCACAAATGGTTAACATTTTTTCTTTTAATATTTCTGCTTCCCTTCCTCTAGGCGTTTGAAAAGAATGCCCTTGTAGCTGTCTTGCAGTTGGGTGTGGCTGTATGACTTGCTTTGGCCAATGAAAGTGCTATGTGTCCTGTTGAGGCAAAAGCATGTAAGAGCTCATGAACAATTCATGCTTACTTCACACATGGGGTGGGGACTCTAAGCCTCTTGGTGACTTAGGTAGGATCTCAAAATGGTGGCGCTCCACCAGCTTGGGTTCCTGAATAACTTATAATGAACAGAGTCCACTGCCGGACTACTCTAGACATGTACTGTGAGACCAGTCTTTGTGATGTAAAGCCATTAAGATTTGGGCATTGTTAAGGGGCGTGGATTGCTCAGTAGGTACAGCATGTGACTCAATCTCGAGAGTTGTGGTTCAATCCCCATGTGGGTCACAGAGCTAACTTAAGGGGGAAAAAAAAAGATTTGGGCATTGTTACCAAAGCATAGCCTAACCTAACCTGACTGATAAGGTTCGTTTGTAGGGTCACTGAACTTCTCCAAGAACTAGAATACAATTCCTAGATTTCTGATCATATCACTATAAGCTGTTGATCCTATCTAGAAGACGGAGTGAACTGTTTATTTATTTATTTATTTTTACCCCCGTTTCCTCATCCACCACCAACTTCCCACTTTGAAGAAAATTATTTTCTGAGTCTTGCACACATAAGCTCTGCATTATTCGGGCAGTTAGACTGGGAGGAGAAGGGGGAGGCCCAGATCTTGTTTTCTCCATTCAAGAGCCTAATTCCAGAACTGTCTCCACCCACTAGTACTCATACAACCTTGTCATAGGGCGACTATTACCACTCCCAAGGTGTCACAAACAGGAGCTCTGCCGCTGGCACCACTGCAATGTCAGGGCAAGGCAGCCAGGCCGCGCTCTTTCCTCACTGATGCCTGGGCTTGGCTAAGTCCGGAGAAGCAGCACTCTCTAGGGAAAGAAGCCTTCTCAAGTGGGAACAAAAATGAGTGTGAGGCGCACACCCATCCTGGGCCCTGTGTGAATTTGGGGTGAGTTCTCTTAGTACTCCAGCTGTGGTCCATTTCTAGTTTCTCTAGCGGCTAGTAAGCTGCCCGGCTGGTGCTACTGGGTCTCCCAGTTTCCCTGGGCTTTTCTAAAGTCCACTCGAGCTTGTCATCTTTGCACACGTGCAAAGGTCAGAAACAGTGGGGGTTGAACCCAACCAGAGCTTCAGAACCAGACCGCAGCCGGGATCAAAGGTCCGCGGGGCAGCCGAGAGGCTGAGCCTGCGCAGTCCCGCTCCCGCCTTGGGAGAGAAAGGGTGGCGGCAACGCGGTCTCGTAACACCAGCATGCTCGCAAGAGGCGGGAAAGTGTTAGCTCGGGTCGCCGCGTCCCTTCCTCTTCCTGCCCCAGCCACCCGTCTGCCCAGAGAGCCTGTCCTCGTCCGGCACCTGGGCCCCGAGGGAGGGGGACGAGAAGGGCCCCGGGCTTCTGACTCATCATCTCCAACCCCTTTCTCGCGCGCGCTCCAAGTCTCAGGACTTTGGATTTGGGCTCTGTGGGAGGGGGCGCAGCGACACCATTTGGGAAACCCAGCTCTGCCAAGGGCCAGCCCCAGCCCCTGCCGGTCCCCGAAGCTGCCAGAGGGAGGCCTGTGAACCCACAGTCAGCGATCAGTTGCCGTGGGTGAGGCGGCGGCGCCCCAACGCAGGATAACCCGCCTGGCGCCTCCCCGCACGCGGGGCCAGTGGTTGCGTCCGAGGAAACTCTCGGCTAGGCCCCGACTTCCAGCGCCTCGCGTCACTCAGCAGATGCACACCGCCCCCATCCCGGAGGGAAGGCTCTTTATTTCCCATCAGGCCACGGGGGCAGCGGGGCATCCCGGGACTTGTAGTCTTCGCTAGAGTAGAAAGGAACAGGCTCGAAGGGAGAAAACTAAAGCACCCGTGAACTGATTTCTGAGAATGGGCTTGTGCGGGACCCCGGGCTTGGAGTTGGATGGGATTGTGAGAGGTGGAAAGAAGAGAAAGTAGTGAGACGAGGCAGATGTGAAGCTGTATGGGGAGGCGATGGGTATGGAGGGGAAAGATGGAAGGAAGTGGGTACAGCTGAAAATTGGTTTAAGGATGTCCCGCAGGAGGGCAGCTTTTCAGGGCAGTGAGGTGAGGGAAGGCTCCGGTTTAGGTATAGCTTCCTCTTGTGGGGAAGGGAAGAGCAAGGGGCTTAGTCTGGGTGAAAACTGAAGGCACTCCACCGGACTTCATTTAGGTCTCAGAGGACTCCATCTAGCTTCTGAGTTTTGTGGGGTGGGGGGCAGGAGGGCCTGGACAACGCCCTTTGCCAGGTTAGTGGAGCAGGACTTGCTTGCCTGCCCTTGTAGCTCACTCATTTGTTGCATTTGCTGTGCTGGCCACGGTGGTACCATTCTCCAAAGCAGCAACTTCCTCCAACTCAGACAGACCCTAAAAGCCAGACAGTTGTGAGGGGAGCAAACTGTAAGGGTGAGAAAGGAGGAATCCCACACAGAAACAACTTACTCCTTTTCTTCCATTTACTCTTGTTCCCATAGTTCTTCCAATATTTAGGCAGCTTCCTAATGCTCTCCCACATTTCTAATCTCAGTCATTTAGATACCCAGTTCCCTCTTACTCAACACTGGGGAATAAATATCTAAAACCAGAAAACCAATCAGTTTCTGGCTACGACCCCTTCTGCCCCTCAGCCCCCACCAACCCTGTTTTCTCTTAAGTGCCACTGACCAGTATAGCCAGTAAAAAAATCAGCTGTTAATGAACTGCTTCATACTTTCCTCCCTGCCCTGAATACCTCCTGCAGCTCTTGGTAGAGCAGACTCCGGTTCCTGCAGCATCCTGGCTTCCTCTGGTTCAGCAGGAATAGTGAGTATGCCGAGACCAGCACTCCCCCTAGGGTGAAGGCCTCAGTGCCTAGCTCCACCGCCAGCAAGCCAGCCTGCTGCAGGTAGACAGGAATGAGGATGCTACAGGGAACCCAGCACCTGTTTACCCCTGCCCCTTTCCCTCTTCATCTCTTAATTCTCCTACCTTCTCCTTTATTCACCCATACCTGGGAGGGGGCAGCTGAGGCAGCCCCCAAGGCTGTCTTCATCACGTCGACCACCACCACGATGAAGCCCAAGATCAGACTGAAGATGTTGAGTATCATCATGGCCTGCACCTGCCAATGAACCAGCTCAGCCCTGCCCAGCCTAGGGGACTGATTGCCGCTCCAAGCCCCACCTACAGCCAAGCCCCAAAACAAAACTCAGCTCCTATTCCTCCACCTCCAAGCAGGACCATGAGCCTTCTAATATCTTGCTTTCCCTCCTCAGTTTTTTAGGCCAGTCAGGGGCAGGGAGCTGACAGGATTGGTTAACATTTAGTCACTTCCTGGGCTGAGTGGGGTGTGTGTGTGTGTGTGTGTGTTGGGGTGTGTGTGGGAGAACAGTGCTGCATTCTCTTCCCCTCTCACCTTCCAGAGGCGGGGTGCTCTGCGCAGCTCAAGAGTGACAATCGCAGTGAGGAGACCCTGAATGGTGAGAAAGGCAAGTGATGTACTCTGGCCCATTAAGGAGGGCCTCCAGGACCTTCTTTCCACCCTTCCTTGTGCTGTGTCTTACCAATGCTCCAGGCCCAAGTGGCAATGCTGTGGCCATGTGACAGGCAGAGTTCAGGCAGGCAACGGAGATAGCAAAGGGCACCACAGCCACTGCCAGCCATAGCTGGCTCACCTGGAGGCCAGACACAGGGTAGTTGAAAGGGATCTAGAGATCAGCAATTGGGAGGAATGCCCATTGGTGGGAAGTAGTCAACCAAGGTAAAGTGAAGGAATGGGGTATTATTTAACTTTTTCTGCTTCATGTCCAAGTCTGGTTACTTACCTATGTGTTTTCCCCACATAATGGAAGCTAACTGGGGATTAAGGGTCTTGCTTCATTATCCTATGCTTTTTCCACCCTCCTCCCACTCAGAGGCTGGCAGTTTCAGGCACGGGGTGGGTGCTCCCTAATTCAATAGAACTGAACTGGGTTACAACTGGACATGCTGAAGCTTTGGGTGGGACAGCCTGGCCTCACCGCCAGCACCAAGAGGTGCCCGCTCTGCCTGTGCTTTGCCCAGTGCTGTAGCTTTTCCAGACGAAGACTAGGTCTTTCCTGCTCCCGCTGAGCAGCTCTTTCCTCCATGGCTCCGCTGACCACTGGAGTTCGGTGCTTTCTAGGCTGGGAGAAATGCATTATGGCACTTATCAGGAGATAGAACATGGAGCAACATCTCTTTCAGCTGTCCCTTTATCTGCTTCCAAAATCCGGGGAATTGAGGCTCAGGGCCTCAGACCTACCTAGTCTGAAGGTGCTACTCCAAAAGGATGGGACCCAGCCGGGCCTGGAGCTCCTGGCAGGGAGCAGTAGCTCAGAGCAGACGACGAGGACGACAAACTTGTCTTGGCAGAGATGGGCTGTCAGGGCCGGGAGTGATGGGGCAAAGGTCCCCAGAGTGCCTCAGGATCCAGGGAGTGCCTATGGGCAGACCAGCCTCAGTTCATTCTACAAGATGCCCCACCCTACCTTACTCTGTCCCTCTTTCCCATTGCTGCCTTTTGTTCATTGTTGTTCCCATTTCCCATTGCTGCCCTCTCTGCCCATCCAGGGTCCTCTTCTGATTGCTCACCTCATCCCAGTGGACACTACCACTCTGGGTCCAAGTTTCCCCCCATTTCCATCTAATCTTTCTCCTTTTTTTGCTTCCTCCTCAAATTACCTGTAATATAGGGATATCCCATATTACTGTCTGAATTGGTCCCCTGTCATTACCACTTGCAGTGTTGTCTCAAGACCAGGCAAGGTTTAATTCCCCTGGTTTCCTGTCTCACTTTCTAGACAGTTTCTCCTCTCTTCTTCCTTTCTTAAAGGATTTACTCTGGATTGGACACTAAAGTAGATGGGGATCCCTACTTATAGCAGGGATTTTTTTAGTGTTACAGTGTTAATTTGCTGCTAGATATGTATAGAAAATAGTCCCCAAATGGCCAGTCTTGGGAAGGACACTACCATACCAAAGAACATTTTTGAGAGATACAGGTTGCCTTGCAGTCAGGCTGACCTGGACTAGGATCTCAGCTCTGTCACTTTCTCAGCTGTGTGACCTTGAATATTCTACCTATTTAAACCTCAGTTTGCCCAAACTGAGTGATAAAAAGGGGGCTAATAATATGACTGTGAGTGGTTGTTGGCTCATGGTGGGCACTTAATAGCCATCGCTGGTGGGATACAGTCACACTGATGTGCATGAGGCCCATATACTAAAGGCTTACTTAAAAGCTAAGCTGGGACATTTGTTTCTACAGTAAGGAGCAGAACTAGCTGGGCCCGAATATACCTTATGAATCAAAAATAGGAAAGGTGCAGAGCCTGAGATCTGGAGAAAACCAGACTTATGTTCAAATCCCAGATCTACTGGAATGACCTTGGGCAAGTTACTTAATCTCTGTTACCTTATCTATAAAGGGAAGTTAATAATACTGATCTCAATACAATACTCAAGGGGTTACCTTGAGTATTAAAAGAGAAAATGCAAAGAACTAGCTCAGCCCAGTACCTAACACCTACTTGCTCAATAATTGTTAGTAACTCTTATAATATTTATTACTGATGGTAGAAGAAGACTGAGCCAGAAGACTCCTGGGAGTTAGTACTGACAGGCAGGGGTCTAGTGGTCCTTTGAAAGACACTTATGTTCTGCTCACTGCTGGGCCAACACTCATCTGATCACTGTGTCTACTCTTCTTTCCTGGGGAGTGCAAATCACATTTAAAGGGATCCGGAAAAATTGTGGGTCTATTCCTGCCTCAGTCCCCATGTGCATTAATTTTATTTGGTAAGCAGTGGCCTGACAGAATGTGAAATGTTAGGCTTGCTTTGAGGATCCCTGAGCTGGTAGGACAGTGGAAAGAGACTCTTTAGCTTCATTTTCCTTACCTGTAAATGCAGACTGATTATATTTCAGAGTGTTATTGTAAGGATTCTATACTATTCAATATGTGAGCAGGCATTCCGTCAATATTGATTAAACCTGAGTATACTACTTACAAATTTGTAGCCCCTGTCTAGATTACAAGCTGCTCATGGGAAGGATCTACAAGCCCCTCATCTGCTCATCCCCCAGTGCTAAGCATAGTGCCTGGTACTCGGTAAGCAATCAGTAAATATTTGTTGTATTGAAGAGCCATTAAAGTGACTTAAGGAATGGGAAAGAGAATTCGAGAGGAAGGAGTAGGATTTGTTTATCAAGAACAGAAAGGACCGAAGAGTAACTTTAATAATGTTTCTTATACGGCAGACATTAACTATCTCTATAATCGCCCCTCCTCCTCCTCCCCAAAAAGAGAGACAGAAATTGTAAGGGAGAGGCTTTGAGATAAAACCCCAGGAAGAACTTCCCGAGTCTGTGCATGTTGGGGCAGAAAGAGCGGCAGAGCCAACTCCTTCCCTGGTATGTCCGGGTTTAGGGTGGGAGGGGCAGTCCGGCTTGGAGGCTGGGGGAAGGACGAGATGACCTTTCAAAATCTCTTCCAGTCTCCTGTAGGAACCGTCTGTGCGTCCCACCCCCGCTCCCTCCCTCCCTCCCTCCGACAGCGCCCCCCGTCTCCAAACTGCCCGTACCCCGCCCCTGGCGGCCGCCTCTCGCGGCTCCCGGGGTCCCCAGCTCCCTGTCCCCGGAGCCAGAGCCCCGCTCCCGCTCCCGCGCGGCTCCCAGCCCCGCCGCGCCGCCCCCCGCATGCTAATGGCCGGGCCGCCTCCCGCCGCACACAATGCGGGCCAGGGCCGGGGGCGGGGGACCGGGGAGGGGGCGGGGGCCGGGCCGGGGGCGGGGGGGCCGGGGCCCGGCGCATCTCCCCCGGCCCCACGTAACGCTGACGCCCGCGCCGCCGGCCCGCCGCCCGCCGCCGCCGCCGCCGCCGCCCGCTCCGCCGCCGCCCGCCCGGGGCTCGTGAGTAGCCGCTCCCCCCACTCCCGGCCCCCCCCTCCGCCACCCGGCCCCCGCCCCCGGCCCCCTCACCCCCACCCGGAGGGGGGGGCCCGCTCCGCGCGCCCGGCTAGGAGCAGGTGCAGGGGGCGGGGGCGGGGGAGGGGCGCCGGCTCGGCCCCAAGCAAACTTCGCCCAGAGCTCCTGGGGGGGCGGGGTGGGGGCGGCGGCCTCGGAAGCCGGGAGAGCTGGGGGGCCTCGAGGGAGGGGGGGGCCAGGTGGGGGAGCCGGGAAAGCGCACACCAAAGGGGAGAGGCCAGCGGGGGGGGTGCGGACGTCTTTGTAGGGGCCCGAAGGCAGGGCGCGAGGGGCCTGGGGGTGCAAGGCGGCCGAGCCGGGAGCCAGAGTGGATGAGCGCCCCCCGGCTCAGGTAGGGCTGATGGAAGAGGGGGAAGGGACCTAAACTCTCCCGGAGCGGGGATGGGGGAGGGGTGAGGATGGGGGGTGCTTCCCTCTCTGCGTCCCAAACAAAGTGTCACAAAGAGCTCGGCCCGGCGGCAGCAGCGGCGGAGGCGGCTGCAACTCAGCTTTTGTTCTCCCGGCCGGGGTAGCTGAGCCTTGGCCTCCCAGTCTCCCAACCCTGCCCCCCATCATCCTTCTAGCTTATCTTCCCCGGGAGGGGACTGGGGTGCTGCTGGAAGAATCTCTTCTGCAGGATCACAGGTCCTGCCCTACTTGCCAACCTACTTCTGGGAGGGAGATTTTCCCAGAGGCTCTCCTGCCTACCCCCACCCCCTAATCTGAGGACTGAGACTCATATGGGTGCTAAGACTCTGACCTTTCTAGGGTCAGCTCCAGTTAAGGGGACTTAGGGCTGGCGCCATGCCCCCTCCCCCAAATCAAGGTCCTGTAGAACTTTCAGAAGAGGGGTCAAGTTGGGACATGCCTGGGAAATAAGATTCGCCATGGTGGGGTGGCAGGTGTACCTTCCTCTTGTCTCCTGCTGCACATTTGGAGTCAATGATTGAGGTGCCATGCCCCCAAATCAGGACAGTGAGGATGGAGGAAGGAGGCTTTACCAAGAACTCAGTGTAAAAGATGGGCGTGCTGTGATGTGGGGTCAGTTTAGAGGAACTCCCTGAGCAGTGAGGTTCAGAGGGCCATGGATAGGAGACCATGAAAGTGAGCTACTGGCATGTACTTGCGATAAGAGTGGTCTTGATTCTAGACCACCTAAGAAGCCCCTTTTCTTTCTTACCTCATCTTGTGCGGCGTTAATCATAATTGGTAGCAGACTTCAGAGGTGTGGGATTCTCTACAGGGGGAAGAGCATCAAATATTAGAAAAGACCAGTGACAGAGGCTTCATCACAACTATACCTCAGAAGTCCTGAATCCTTGCCCCTTACACTTTGACCCTAAAAACTTTTGAACCACGGGTTTGAGGTCCTTCAGGCAGCAAATGCTTCTGTGTACCTGTCCTTGTTTCTAAGTCTTCTCACCAACCCTTCCAGCCCTCCCTAAAGCAATAAGGTTGATGGTCCACACGCCCTTCCCCACCAGCTTTCCTAGCACACAAAAATAATTGGCCTGTTGCTTTGGAACGATTTCCGATCCCTATCCCTGGCTCTGTATCCCTATAGAACCCAAATAAGGGCCAGATAACCCCTGATTCCCAGTGAGGGTGGAAAGTAGGTCAGTACTCCTGTCTGGCCAAATCTCGTGGATGGTGTTTAGGGCCTAACTATAGAAAACTCTGTGATAATTGCCCACAGGCAATACGTGCATGCTGTGGGTTCCAAGCTGGTTCATAGCTCTTGACCCTGTTAGTGCTCTTTTCTGTTGAGAACAAACAAAACAAAACAAAACAAAACACTAGTGGGATCAGGTGCCTGGGGCCTCCTTTGGTGTGGAGATGACTCAGGAGGTCTTGACTGGGCCTAAGAAGGTGTCCAGGTGGGTTTTGTTGATTTGAGGCTACCCTCTAGGGAAACTTTCCCTGTTTGGGAATTCAGCTTCAATTTAGGCCTTCTTGTATATCACTTTTTTCCATCCTGGAAAATGCTATGTGTAAAGTAGGTCTTCTGTTTTTGTTTTGTTTTGGTGGAGGAAGCTTTGTCCTGTTCCTACTCTACTTGCTTCATATATGAGGTCAGCCTCCCATGAGGTATTTTGCTTGCTGTGCTACAGGCAATTTTAGGGGCCCTAGAATCTTCTCAGAATCAGAATATGTGCCCATAGGTTAGTCAGCTATGACCATGCAGTATTCCCAGCCTCCCCCCCTCCTCCCCCACCATCTGCTTCCTCTGAATATACCAGATTGGCTGTACACCAGGATGTTCCGGGAATCCCCAGGAGAGCAACAGAATGTGATGGACCCAAATACGATGCCTCAGTAACTCATTCCAGGATGTACAAACTGTAACTGTCAGGACACTCCTTATAGCTAATTAAAATTCTTCTAGTTACATCTATTTTCTATTACACTTATCTATTTTCAGTGACATCTAAAAGGCCAAAATAATTCCTCTGGTACCAGTGTTCCCCACCCCCCCATAGTTCCGAGATAGGAATTAAAAAAAAATCCTCTAGCTTTTTTCAGTGCTTTATCTGTGGTGCTAAAATGGCAAATGTGGCCCCTCTAGCACTTCCAACTCTTTCTATGGTACCGAGGTGGCCAAAGTGGCTCCTCTGGTAGCCCACTGCACTCTCCATGGTACTGAAGGGATGACCATTTGTTTTTAACATCTCTCTGGGGTCCAGAAGAGTCCTGTGACTCAGAACCACAAATTTTTGAGCTGGATGGGACCATTAATATAAATTAGTCCAACTTCCTTATTTTACAGATGAGTAAACTGGGAGGTTAAGTGATTTACTGAAGGTTGCAGGACTATTAATAGTCAGACTGGGCCCACAATAGCCTTGCACTCCTCAGTCCTACTCTTTAATTCACCTTTTGTGACACTTACGCATGGAGCCTAGCTGGGCTCTTGGTCCCAGGAAAGGGGTTTGTTTGGAGGATCCAGAAGATGATGGTGGATGCCCTAATTTGGAGCTACAGAAATACAAATGTTAAATGTGGTGGTGGAGGTTGTTTAATGACCCTTGGATAAGGACACTTTGTCAGTCAACCTCCTGTTAATAAAATTCCCTTAACCCAGATTTCACATGTAACAGGTACCTGCCCCTTTATGGAGTCTTATCACATTCACATTCATTAAATGTCAAAAATTAAAGAAGGCTTGGACCTCCAGAGCCTTTTCTTTTTGCTGATGAGCAGGGCTGACTCCTGGCCCAGTTCTCTTCTGTTAAAGAACCTTAAGCAAAGTAATGCTTGAGTCCTTTTCTTTCTCAGTAACCCATTTCAGTTTCACAATGCCTATTGTATGGAAGTTCTTTATATCTCAAATATTCTTTCTATCTCAGGCAAAAAAATAGGTTAGGCCCACATTCATCCAGCCTCAACTGGAGACAATTCTATATGTAAGCAGGAAGGTAGGCTGGCTGACTTCTGCTCATCTTCCCCAGGCCTGTTTCCATGAATGTTAATTCTGGGGTTGCTTCTAAGTCCTAATGCTAACTAACCTCTGCAGCTTAGAATCAGGAGAGCACCCCCCCACACACCCCAGCTTCTTCTCAGTGCTCTTCTCCTTCCTCAGAACTGGAGCTCTGCACATCCCAGGCCCAGGGAATTTCAGCCTGGAGAATTTTAACCCTTTCCTGCTCAGAGCATGTGCTGAGCCCCTATCTGTGCAGATGGCCCAGCCCCGCCCCCCGTCCCTCACTCCAGCCTCTTGAGCTCAGAGCCAGTGTAATCCTCCTCTTGTGTGAGGGAGCCTCTCCCCTGCAGAGAGAAGGAAAGCCTGCCTCGGAACAGCCCTGGACAAAGGGGCTGAGATGCCCCATCAAACTGCAGGCTCTAAGGTTTGAAACATGGGAATGAATTCTATGCGGTATTTGTAGTTTTTAACCCCTTCCCCAGGCCAGCAGCGCCCCTTAACTTCCACTCCTCCCCCAACTCTCTCTTCATTCCCTCTCCCTCTGGCTCTCTCCCCCTTCATGCCCCTCCCCCTCTGTCTGTCTCCAGACTCTCCGCTGCTGGGAGGTGTTTCTCTCCCATGCATGAATGAGTCTCTGTAATGAATGGAAATGAATGGATCAGGAATCCAGGCGGAGGGAGGGAGTACGAGGGGGAAAAGACAGAAAGACAGGATAAGGGCAGAAGGAAGGACTGTGGAGTGTGGAAGGATGTTTGGCTGATCGGTCAGTTAGGGGTCTGAGAGCAACTGGTCTCACTTAGATAACTGGGGGGCATGGTAGGCCCACCCCATTTGCTCATCAAGCTGCATAGCCTGACTTAAATGGGAGAGGGGTATACTGTGATGGTTTCTACCACCAGGGGGTGGTGATGGTGGTGGTGATGGTGGTGATGGTAACGATGGTAGCGGTGGTTTGGGACTAGGAGTTTAAAATTAATACTTTGGGGGAAGACATCCTGGTTGTTAGGGAGCCTGTGGGCTGGGCAAATCAAGGAGTAAAAATTTTGAAGACAGCAGCCCCTTCCTGTCTCAGGGTGCAAGGAAGGGTAATGGATAGGTTGCAAGAGTACGGGCTGCTAAGAGTATGGGGTTGTGGGTGCCTCTTTCCACTGCTGAAAACCAGGGCTCATCTTTCCCTCCAAACCTGTCTCTCTTGCTTTAGCTCTTCAGCACCTGTTGCCTTCACTAGCAGCTCTTCCTCCTTCTCTTCCCTGCACTCCCCAGAACCAAAGAATGTGAAGGGGGTCCATGGAGGTGAGTGAAGAAGCTCCGGCCTGAACCTGCAAGTACTTCCGATTATACTCCTTCCCTGCCCTACCTCTCTTAGAAGTTACGACTGTGGCCCCAACAGCTCAATTCCCATTCATATCCCACTTCCCTTAGGGTGAGTGGGAAGGGCACTCGGTATTCCTGATTCAGGCCCCAACCCACCTTCCCTCGAGTTCTTCTGGCCTTCCACGCCCTTGCTTTTCCCACAGCTGTCCCTTCTCCACCCCTTGCTCTACTCAGGTCTTTCTCCACAGGGCTCACGTCCCCGTGCTCCGGGCGGCCATTTAGTGCCCTCGCCGCCCGCCTTCGACGGCGAACTGGATCTGCAGCGCTACTCCAACGGGCCAGGCGTGAGCGCCGGGTCTCCAGGGATGGGAGCAGTGGGCTGGTCCGAGAGTCGCGCAGGGGAAAGACGCTTCCCTTGCCCTGTATGCGGGAAGCGCTTCCGCTTCAACTCTATCCTGGCTTTGCACCTGCGGGCGCACCCAGGCGCCCAGGCCTTCCAGTGCCCGCACTGCGGCCACCGTGCCGCGCAGCGGGCCCTGCTGCGCTCACATCTGCGCACGCACCAGCCGGAGCCTCCGCGTAGCCCCGCCGCACGCCTATTGCTGGAGCTGGAGGAGCGCGCGCTACTGCGCGAGGCCCGGCTGGGGAGAGCCCGAAGTTCTGGGGGCATGCAGTCCACCCCTGCCACTGAGGGCCTGGCGCGGTCCCAGGCTCCTTCGTCGTCCACCTTCCGTTGCCCCTTCTGCAAAGGCAAGTTTCGCACCGCGGCGGAGCGAGAACGCCACCTGCACATCCTGCACAGGCCCTGGAAGTGCGGCCTGTGCAGTTTTGGCTCCAGCCAGGAGGAGGAGCTGCTGCATCACAGCCTGACGGCCCACGGAGCTCCTGAGCGTCCCCTGGCGGCCAGCTCGGCTGCTCCCCAGCCTCAGCCTCCGCCCCAACCTGAACCGAGATCAGTCCCAGAGTCTGAGCCGGAGCCTGAACGTGAGGCAGCGCCTGCCCCCGCTCCCGCCGCTCCAGAGGAGCCCCCCGCGCCCCCGGAGTTCCGCTGTCAAGTGTGTGGCCAGAGCTTTACGCAGTCCTGGTTTCTGAAGGGCCACATGCGCAAGCACAAGGCCTCCTTCGATCATGCGTGTCCCGTGTGTGGCCGCTGCTTCAAGGAGCCCTGGTTCCTTAAGAACCACATGAAGGTGCATGCCAGCAAGCTGGGGCCACTGCGCGCCCCGGGGGCTGGTTCCGGTGCTGCCCGGGCCCCCCAGCCTCCCGACCTGGGCCTGCTGACCTATGAGCCGCTGGGCCCCGCGCTCCTCTTGGCCCCGGCTCCCACTCCCGCCGAGCGCCGTGAGCCTCCGAGCCTCCTGGGCTACCTGAGCCTGCGAGCTGGCGAGGCCCGGCCTAATGGTGAGGGTGCCGAGCCTGGGGCCGGCCGCGGCTTCGGAAGCTTCCGCCCACTGCCCTCTGCTCTCCCAGCCCGGGCTCGCCGGCATCGCGCAGAAGAGCCAGAGGAGGAAGAGGAGGTGGTGGAGGCAGAGGAGGAGACCTGGGCCCGCAGCAGGGCGTTGGGCCCTCTGGCTTCAGTGCACCCGCGCCCAGGCGAGGGGCCAGGGCACTCTGCGTCTGCTGCGGGGACCCAAGCAAGGTCCACCGCCACGCAGGGTATGTAAGGGGTCTTTTCCCTCCAAGATTTCCACATCCGGGGCCCATTCTGACGCTACCACCGCCCTCCTTCCCCTTCTCTTTAAAAGGGACCCGTCTCTTACTCTCGATTGTTTTCACTCCTGGAGGCCACTTTTCGAGGGACATAGCACAACTCACAACAAATCCAACCCTTCAGCTTCCCTCAAATAGACTGTTTCCTTCTGGAGACTTAGAGGAAGCAATCCTAAGGGGTGGGTGTGGGGTGCGTGGCTCTGATAGGGATAGGGCAAAGGGCCTTTCTGACTTCCCTTAACGTGTGCGTTGCAGAAGAGAACGGGCTGTTGGTTGGAGGGACCCGGCCTGAAGGGGGCCGGGGAGCCACAGGAAAGGATTGCCCCTTCTGTGGAAAATCTTTCCGCTCCGCGCATCACCTTAAAGTGCACCTTCGAGTGCACACAGGTGAGGGGGACAGCCTCTGTGGTGGGGAGGGAACTGAGGGGCGGGAACAGAGAGCGCTGCCTGAAAGGCAGCCTGCAGTTTGGCCAGTTGAGGTGGTTGGGGGAATGCTGCTCTGTTAAATGAGAGAGGGTGGGGGTGTGTCTTTCTGGTCCAGAGGGGCCTGTACAGAGAGCGAAATGCGGGTGGGGCCGGCCGTGATCGTGCTTCTGTGACCCTGTCGCACCCCTTTCTCCAGGCGAGCGCCCCTACAAATGTCCGCACTGCGACTACGCGGGCACCCAATCCGGCTCGCTTAAGTATCACCTGCAGCGCCACCACCGAGAGCAGAGGAGTGGGGCGGGCCCCGGACCACCCCCAGAGCCGCCGCCCCCTTCCCAGCGGAGTGCAGCACAGCAGTCGGGAGCCAAGGCAGCTCCGCAGCCTGCGACCTGGGTGGAGGGCGCTGCGAACCCCCGGCCTCCTTCGAGCGCGGCGCCGGGTTCCCGTCGGAAGCCCGCCAGTCCCGGGAGGACCCTGCGCAACGGGCGAGGCGGTGAGGCCGAACCCCTGGACCTGTCCCTGCGGGCGGGGCCGGGAGGCGAGGCTGGGCCGGGGGGTGCCCTCCACCGATGCCTCTTCTGCCCCTTCGCCACGGGAGCCCCTGAGCTCATGGCCTTGCACCTGCAAGTGCACCACAGCCGCAGGGCTCGGGGCCGCAGGCCGCCCCAGGCCGACGCGTCCCCGCCCTACGCCCCTGCACAATGCGGAGAGACCCCTCCCAGTCCTCCTCAGGAAGGGGAGGAAGGCCCCGGGCTGCAGAGAGCGGGAGAGGCGGGGCTAGGGGGACAAGAACGGTAGGGAGCCCTCTTAGGGGCGGTTAGCTTAGTGAGCTCACCCCGCAGGAGCGGGGGAGCGCTAGAGGTAGTTGGGTAGAGCAGCCAGCAGGGGGCAGCGTGGGACCCATATCCCAGCCCCAGGCGGACCAGAGGTAGAGGAGGTGGAGGGGGTGGAGGGCGTAAGAGGGTGGGCGGGCGCTACCCACCCAGCCCAGGGGAGAGTCACAGTGCCTTAGAAGTGGCAGGGGTGAGGATCAAAGAACGGGGTCCCAGGGCTGGCAGAGGGTTGTGTCCCTGTTGAGGAGCCGCTCTGCCAGTCTTTGCTGGTCCATAGGCGTGAGAGTTTATTTTTGTACAATGGGTGGGGGTGGGGGGCACTGTACCCTTCTAGCCCCTTCAGGGGCCCTGTAGACGTCGCTATTTTTGGTACGATTCCTGTCATCCCTGTCGCAGAGTTGTGTCCCCAATAAACAGGTGTCTTGAGGCACAGGGCGCTGTGTCTGTCTGCCTATGTCCTGTCCTACTTGGGCCGTTTTGTCCGGAAATACTTCTTGGGGCACTTAGTGTTCACCCAGAGAGCTTAATAAGGAATGAGAAATCTTGGGCTTCACCCCCAGACTTCGGCTTCAGTAGCTCTGGGAGTGGGGCCCAGGAATTAGCATTTAGCAAGTAGCCTAGGGGATTCTCATGCCCTATGGTCTGAGGACCTCATTTTGAGAACTGCTGGATCCCAGCTTAAGGGTGACCCCTCAGCCTCAAGAACTGGGTGCAGTGGGAGAGGTGGAACTTCGCAGAGTGCATTGAGTCTCCGAGAGCCACTGGCGGAGGGGCATTCTCCCGCACCCACGCCCAGTTTGGGGCCAGGAAGGGGTACCAAAAGCCTTGGTTTTATTTTCTGTGTTCCAGTTAATGGGTGAGGGGAAGTGCTCAAGGTAGCAGCATCACCTCAACCCAGGGTCTGCTCTAGCTCTTCCAACACAAAATATGAGTAAATACGTTTAATATAACAATAGTATTATAATAACAGTAATTACATGTATAAAGTTTGTAGTACCCCCAATCCCCCACCCTCCTATAATGATTTGCAAAGCTCCATTTCCTATGACAACCCAGAGTGGAGTCACCAGGAACCACAGCTGACCTGGCAGAGATGAGTCTTCTAAGGGGAGAGTCTGGGTGGCACCACACGAAGGGGAGAATGCAGGCTGTTGGGGGAGGGCCAACACGGAGCAGTGTCCTGGGAGAATGCAGTGGCCCAAGATGGGGAAGGACCGGATGAGGGCTCATTTCTCCCCCTCCAGGGCATGAAGGCAAGCAAAGAGTGGACACTTTGGTTCCTGCAGGAAGGCAGCCGGCTGGAGAGAGCCAGAGATAGCAGCAGGGATACATGCTGGTCCTGTGACCTCCTCTCTGTCCAGAAAGCAGAAGGAAGGAATTCAGTGCTCTTCCAGTCCTCCACTATGTCCCACTGCCATCACGGCCCAAAGTGTGCTGAGAGGAAGGCCTCTAGCCAAGTTCTCCATCTTCTCTAGAAGCCAGGAGAGAAGAGGGAGATGGGTTGGGAGAGGGAAGAAGCTGACTTGCAAGAAGCTGGGGAAGGAAGGCAGTTGGTGCAAGGAGGTAGGAGTGTTGGATATAGTGGAAGGGGGCACTGACTCACTCAGGTCACAGAGGAGTGGTGGGGTCACTCAGGGTTCGGGCATGACTCTGCAAAAAGATGAACTGCAGTGAACTTAAAGGGTAAGGAAATGTCCTTTTTCCTATATTCGCACCCCCCCCAAGCCTGCCAATTCACCTCTCTTTCTTCCTCCCCCAGATTCCTCAATTTGGCTAATTTAATCCAAGTCCAGATACTTTTGGCATCCCCCCCACTTTTCCATCCACTCCTGCACTATGCACCTTATTAAAGATTCCTTTTCACTTCTGACCTTGATGCCTCTCCCCCAGGTCTAGGGATAGAGGAGAAAGGCAGACTAGACAATATATCCAACCTGTGGTCTTGCTGGGAACACAGGCTCCTTGGTTCCCCCTGCCCCCATGGGTTGAATGAGAATAGCCCACTCAGAAAGTGGCTGAAGAGATCACCCCACTTTCAGCCCTAGTATAGGGACTTACCTGCCGGGACAGCCCTAAGATCCCTCCACCGGCCAGAGTGGGAGTGCTGCTCCCAGGGTGGGGGGGCTGCAGGCTGGGGCTGTTTCTTGGTCCTGGGGACACATCTCCAGAAGAGTCAAGTGTTTCTGGGGCTGGAGGGGAAGCTAGGGTGAGAGCAGGGTATAGAACCCCTCTAGATTACCTTAAGCAACCAAGCTGCTCCATCAGGGAAGAAAAAGCTCCATAGCAACAGGAAGCTGTGAGTCACCATAGCAATCCAGTTGCAAGAGAACCCCCCTACCAAGAGGCAGGAAATTGTCAGCAGCATCATTAGAGCAACGAGGGAAGAAGCGACAGGAAACTATAAGGATTGCTGTGGTGAACCAGGAGGGTACAACAGGAAGCTGAGCAGTTTCCATAGAAACCCAAGGAGAGCTAGAGAGAGAGGTACAGAGGAAGTGCTGCTTAGCAACAGGCTGCTGTAAGCATTATCCTAGCAACCAGATGGAAGGCTCTTTTAGCAATGGGGAAGCTGTACATAGTTGTCATGGCAACTGGGCTACTTGGCTAGAAAAAGGAATTGCTTAGCAGCAAGCAGCCTGAACATCACCACGATGACGCAGCTGTTGGGGGCCACCCCTTGAGAGGTGCCTCACCCAGGGAAATGTGCTTGACGTCCAGATCCCAGGCCTCCTCCTCGACGCGGGCAGGCAGGGAGCAGGCTCCCGGTGAGAGGCCGGGAAGGGAAGGGCCGGCATGCTCAAAGGATGACACGGCCACGGAAGCCCGGGTGCGGGCGGCTGCAGAGAGGGGGGGGGGGGGGGGGGGGGGTGCTGGTGTGGGAAAGCCCTCCTGGCTCTCTGAAATGACCCTCAGTCTCACAGAGGGCCTCCCAGTCAGTCCCACAATTTCTGGGAAGACATGTCCACTCATTGCCCTTCTTCACTTTTCTACCATGCCTCCCCACTATGCCCTCACTCTCAAGGTCTTGACTCCTGGGAGTCGCCCCCACCCCCCAGCACTGTGGCCCTCACCTCTTCCAGTGAGCAAGGCACTCAGCGTCCGCTCCCCAAGGGCTTTGATGTCCAGGAAAGGTTTATTCCCAATGCCCATGGAGACCATCTGCTGCACTCGGAGCTCTAGGAAACAGAGACCCTGTTACCAACCTCCTTCAGTGCCCCCTTTGCTCCAAGCCCCAGCACTATCATGGTGGACTGTTCTGCCTCTTGCCAATTCTCATTCATCTGGTATCTCCTGTTACCCTTGCTGTCAACTGTCACTATGTGGATGGTGACGGTGGCCCTTAACCACCTCCTCAGACCCCTGTCTCTTGTCTCCTACATGTTGCACCCTGCCCATTTGTCATCCCAGCCATCTAACTTCTAATACTCACCCTCTGCCCTTTAACTTGGGCATTAAGAGCAAACCTCTCATTCTTACACACCTTTCTAGTTTATCAAGTGCTTCCATAGATAATCACCTATTTCACCATCCCTATCATATGAAGATGTAGCTGTCACTTTCCATTTTTTCAAGATCAGTGGGATGGGGTTCAGAGAATTAAAAAAAAAAACAACCCAGCCCCCAAAACACAGAACAAAACACACAGAAACACTAGTCCGGGTCACAGCATGTAAATTCTGGAACCAGGGTCTAGTGAGCACTCCTTCACTCTCTTTTGCCCTGCCCTTTGCTCTTGCTTTTCTGAAATTGGTAGCTGCCTGTTTCCTTTCGGTATACCTTAGACTAATCTCTATGCCAGCAACCTCTCTCCAGTCAGATCTGGAATCATCTCCTAAGTCATTCCTTTTCCATTCCACACCCTATGGTCTTCATGCACGCTAACCTCCCATTGTAACCTGGACCCTAACCGCCCCCCCCCCCCCGCCCCCGGCCCCGGCTCACACCCTTGTTGTGAGCCGCCTGTCTCCACAGCAGCTGGGCGATAGAACTGGTCCACTTGAGTTTGATCTCTGGTGAGGCTGCCTGCAGAGTGTATGCTTCTCGAGCGCGCCGCCGCCGGAACCACAACTCAAAGCAGAGTCCGCTGTCCCCGATGTTTTCTGTGAGCCCCATGTCAGCAGTCTGAGAAAAAGCGGAGGAGAGTGGGTGAAGACAGAGTGAGTCCTGGCTAGATGGCACCACATGGAAAAGCACTACACTTAGCTTGGCATCTGGTAGATGTTCAGTAAATGTTTGCTCAACACCTACCATATGCCAAGTGTTCTACATTTAGCCTTCCTAACAACCATAATTTACAGAAGGGGAATGCCCAGAGACACGAAGTAACTTGCCCAGGGGCTTATCATAGCTTAGTGGAGAGAGAGGGTTCAAACCCATGTCTACGTTATTCCAAACCTAGGCTTCTTTTTCTCTATTCTGTACTCCGCCCCCCGCCCCCGCTCCCTGCCCCCCCACCCAGCCCAGGAGCTGGAACGAATGTAGGCAGACAAAGTTTAGAAACCCTTAGTGGGGGGCACCTGGGTGGCCCAGTGGATTAAAACCTCTGCCTTCGGCTCAGGTCATGGTCCCAGGGTCCTGGGATTGAGCCCCGCATCAGGCTCTCTGCTCAGGGGGGAGCCTGCTTCCCTTCCTCTCTCTCTGCCTGGCTCTCTGTCTACTTGTAATCTCTGTCAAATAAAAAAATAAAAATATTAAAAAAAAAAAAAAAGAAACCCTTAGGGGGTGCCTGGTGGCTCATTTGGTTAAGCATCTGCCTTTGCCTCAGGTCATGATCCCAGAGTCCTGGGATCCAGTCGAGCCCCATATCCAGCTCCTTGCTCAGTGAGGAGCCTGCTTCTCCTTCTCCCTTTACGGGCCACTCCTCCTGCTTGTGCTCGTGCTTGCTCTCTCTCTCTCTCTCTCGCTGCCAAATACATAAATAAAATCTTAAAAAAAAAAAAAAAAAAGAAACTCTTAGAATCATGCCATACTGCCTGATCTAGGACTATAGGTCTTTCTCTCTCTCTCTCTTTTTTAAGATTTTGTTTTTTAAGTGATTTCTACACCCAATGTAGGACTTGAGCTCACAACCCTGAGATCAAGAGGCAGACACAACCGACGGAGCCAG